GGCTATAGGCAGTCGATCGGTCCATCTAAAAGACCTGAAAGCCAGGCCAGTCGGCCAGCTTGCTAGCATTTGCCCCCTCGGAACAGGCCTCTGCAAAACACAAGAGTGGGCGTGGCGGTGTTCCTGTCGTGCATCTTCCAACCAGCTTTGATGAGTTCGCGCTCGAGGAACCTTAAGCTCGTGCATGCACTCAAACAGAACCCCATCCACTATATCACACATGGCCACAACAAAATACAAAAGTAAAACGATCTACGTTGACTTTAAAGAACTGGTACCAGCTCACACCGACATCGCGATCCTTTGGAGTTCGAAACTCGGCACGGATCACATCCAGGCAATCCATCAACTTCCGGCAATCCTTCTTTGCCACATCAACCTTCCGCAATGCTGGGCACCCGAGATTGACTGTGCGAAAGTAGCAAGTGTCCACATTCCTGGACCTCCGGATGCCAGCTGGCCTTGGAATTGTTGGAATGCCAGCTGTTGGATCCAGACCAAAAGGATTGTATATTGGTCCACTGGCACCGGCTGGCGATGGATGCGGCGCAGGAGGTGGCGGATGCGATGGTGGAACCGGAGTGTCATCGATATCAGCCGGGGCCCCGAAAGCTACATCATCAGGTATCTCCATGATGTCATCATCACTTGGAGTCTCGTATTCCGCGGCGTACTCCTCCTCAAATTCAAACTCTTCTGTCTCGTTGTCTTCCCACCCCAGCTCCATGCCCACTCTAATCAGCTTCGATTCGAAGCCCACAATTTGATCCAAACTCAATATTACGTGAAAAAATCTCCAACACAATGGTGTCAATTGCAATCAACATTCACACATATGCACAACCATATGGCCAACACCCAAACACAATACAGTTGAATTGTTTTTTCATCATCCATCCTATACGCAGCAGGTTCAGCTGGGGCCACTCCAAATTTGGAATCACTCTACTGGATCCCTGGCCAAAAAATCAAGCCCGCTGCAAGCCCTTCACTTCTTCGACTTTTCTGCCGGAGCCTTGGGCCGTTGCAAATCTTATAATGCCCCCATGCAATGCTGCAAAACATTCACCGCTGTTGCAGTGAAGTGGCATGCTTCTTCAAAGCTTTGGCTGCAGCCTTGAACTTGTCCACCAAGCCTTCACATCTATCCAGCAAGGGCTCCACCTGACTGTGTTGGGCCACAAGTTCAAAGAAATGATTCACAAGTGATTCACCTTACTGTATTTGTTTCAGCATTTTCCACTTATGGGTTCAGGCCTCGTCCAACGAGCTGGTCTCAATCTGCTCACGTAGGGGCTTCAACTGGTCGAACGGATTCATCAGGTCCGCGCGCAGCACAGCAGACAAGCCATCTCCCCTGACAATTGAAATTTACAGGCGCTTCAAAAATTCCTCTGCGAGAACTTAAAAAAAGGCTGAGGCAAGAACAAGGTGACCCCTTCAAGGCGGGCGGTCAGGACAGGAAGATCAGAGACGGCATTCGAGATGTCCTTGAGAGCCTGCATGGGCACAAGGTTTATTGACTTGTTAATGTTTGCCAGGTCGAAATCGGCCTTCTTTTTGCGGGTTTCCAAACTCTTCTTTGGCTGCTCAGGATCTGGAATTGGGATCTCTGGGAGCTTGTTGTTCCCCTTGGCCTTTTTTTTTGGCTTACCTTTGCCTTTCGCTTTCGCCTTGACTTTAGGCTTCGCTTTGGTCTTGGGTTCCACCACCGCGGGCCTGATCCATGGACGCAGGTATGATCATGGCCACAAAATCAGACACAGCAGCTCAGGTTGGCTTCCAAAATTAAATGTGCATGCGAATGGTTTTTTAAGACTTGCACGGATCAGCTTCTGGTGAGGAGCTGCTGGAACTTGATGAAGAGCAGCGCCTGGCAATTGTCCAGCGAGTTTGGAAATCATCAAAAGAATTTGCGGCAAGACCTCGTGAGATCATCGTCTGCAGCATGCTCATGGCCATCTTCTGCAGCATCTTCACTTTCACTGATCTCGCACTCCTCGTCGAACACCTTGTACTGCTTCATGGCCTTATAGCCACATGATCTTGGGTCACATCCCTCAGAGCTCTCAAAAGAAGAAACCAAGGACAGGGCAGCAGCTTGGGGAAAATCAGGGTGATCTCTGCACTGGCCGGCTTCGATCTTTGCCTGGATGAGAGACTGCACAAGCTCAGGGCCACCATCCTCATCCCCATACCTGGCACAAACTCGAATGACAATAACTTGAATGACTGAGCTGATCGAAGGCATGAAACACCAATCCCACCTCTTCATCAACTCACCTTTGGTTTTCCAAGCCTTTTTCACCTGCCTCTTGCTGGAAGATCGATGGCTCATTCGCCTGGCAATGGGGCAAGGTGCAACATGACAACCCAACACTATATGACCACAATCGATGCCACTCAATTGCAATGGCCTGAAAGACCGGGATTTGTTCCATTGCCCTTTGCAGAGAAAGAAGTCTTCGAACAAATCACCGGTGTCGATTTCACCCCCACCTGAGGAAATCCAAAGACAGGAGGAGCCACAAATTCAAACACAAAGTGGCCATAGATCGCAGCACAATGATGAAGCAATCACAGATTGAGAGCATGGCCAGCACGAGCTTGCTTTGCCAAATTTCGGATCGACTTCGGGGTTTGCTTGCCTTGCCAAACAAACCGCTTCAGCCCAAAAATCATAAAAGCTTTGACTCTGCAGAATTGGCTGAGGGCTGGACTCTTGAGGCTCCTCAGGAATCTCATGTAGTGAGCCTTCCTTATATTCTTCTGTCCTTCTGTCAACTCTGCCTCTGCAGCAGGCTCTGCGGCGAGATCTGCTGGGAGGTCAGTGTCCTTTCTGTTGAGTGCTTCTTTCCAGTCCGCCGGTGTTGCGGATGCTTTTGGATGAGCAGCCGCTGGTGCTGCCGCTGCTTTCTCCGGAGCTTCAGCCGCTGGTGCTGCCGCTGCTTTCTCCGGAGCTTCAGCCACTGGTGCTGCCGCTGCTTTCTCCGGAGCTTCAGCCGCCGGTGCTGCCGCTGCTTGTGCGACACTCTTGTGGGGTACTCATACGGGACACTCTTGTGGGACACTCTTGTAGGACACTCTTGTGGGACATGCGGGACACTCTTGTGGGACACTCTTGTGGGGCACTCTTGTGGGACACTCTTGTGGGACACTCTTGTGGGACACTCTTGTAGGAGACTCTTGTGGGACACTCTTGTGGGACACTCTTGTGGGACACTCTTGTGGGACACTCTAGGGAGCTGGAAGGTGAGAACTGGCGAAGTTGTAGTACAACTTTAGTACGCGGAGTATCTGGGGAGCTGGAAGATGAGGAGCAATCTGTGGAGGTGGAAGATGAGAACTGGCGACTTTGTAGTACAACTTGAGTACGCGGAGTATCTGGGGAGCTGGAAGATGAGAACTGGCGACTTTCTAGTACAACTTTAGCACGCGGAGCAATCTGTGGAGCGGTAGGCTGAGAACTGGCGACTTTGTAGTACAACTTTAGTACGAGGAGTATCTGGGGAGCTGGAAGGTGAGAACTGGCGAAGTTGTAGTACAACTTGAGTATGCGGAGTATCTGGGGTGCTGGAAGATGAGAACTAGCGACTTTGTAGTACAACTGTAGTACGCG